GACCAGAATGATCTGATCATGGGTTTTATTAAGATTTGTAAAAATTTCTTCCCTGAACATTAACATAGATCCTTCATTTACATGACTATTTAGGCAGAGTATTGAGGTTGTAAAGTTTAGAGATTAGTGGGTTTAATGAGGGTATTTTAAGCTATTATATGTATTCCTGGCCTCCAGAAGAGGGGTTTTTTTTTTATTAAAATGGTTTGCTGGAAACATACAAGTTCAGCAAATTCACAACGTTATCTGTTAAAAGCATGTAGGACAAAAGAGTCATATTTTGTTATAAAGAGGAATACCCTAATATATCACTCAGTGTACCCTGATGCTCCTGAATACAAGGAGTTTGTTGAGATAAGGCTACATCCTCAATCAGGTGAGTCCAACACTCACCTTTATAAAAGAGCAAACAAAATTACAGTGAAGGTAGTGTTCCAAAGAAATTAACCATAGCATTCTGAAGGTAGTGTATATAAAGTTCCCCATCCCATTCCCACCCGCCCCGCCGGGTGAGCACTAAGCAGACTGCAAATGGTAAAGGAGTTGAAATTTGAAACAAAATTGCTCCAATTCGACTCAACTGACTAGGAATCCAACCATCAATCTCTGAATACAAAAAGACCAGTCATTCTTAAAAAGTTTAAATTTTCTTTCGAACCAAATGGATCCACGAAGGAAATATGGTGCAAATCGAATTATAAAGTAATGATCCGGTTTTTGACTTCAACTAGAGACTTGATTCGACCTAGAGTTCAAGAAAGTGATTTTTAAAAGGCCATATGAAAAAAGGAAACCCAATAAAATAACTGAAAGTCCATGCAGGCTTAAGAGGCAAGTAGTCCACTTCCATGTCTGCATTCTTTGTGAGGTAACTCAATTCTCTATAGAATATTAGAGAAACATGCAAAAGGCCAAACAACAAAAACAAAAACAGAACACAAAAAGGGCTCTAAGCCATTTCGGGCCATAAAATTTACAAATATGCAACATTCAGAGCACCCTTTCCCCTCTGTTCATATAAGTTATGCTGAACTGCAAAGGAGCATATCCTGTACCCAGAAACCACAGAGAAACTGGGTACTTGCAGCGGGAGTTGACAATGCCATAGTGCTCACCCAGTTTATTATGTAATTGGCACTCTAACAACATCCCTAATCATCCTTTGACTCATTCGCACTGTGTGCTGCCTCTCCCTGGGGATCTATCTCAAGCTTTACAGAGACATCCTGTCCCTCCGAGCGCATTAATTTCATTTTTTTCTTTGGAGGGTTTTTCAAAGTGCCCAGCCTCTCTTTCACTTTATACTCCAGGGTGCTATGGGGAATCCCATAAATACTCTGAGCTTTGGAGACGCTCATTTTCCCATTCATCACCACAGAAATTGCTTCCTCCAATATCTCAGTGTTGTACTGTCTGTATCTGCCTCTTTTCTTCCGAGGTTGCTTAGAGCCAGGATCTCCCTCTTGATCAGAGGTGGGATATGGCTGTCCAGAGGTAGATTGCTCAGCATCTGAGCCCCAGGAATCTGGTCCGGGATCCAGCAAGCTCCTCCTGTTTTGTTTCGGAAGGATAGCCCTTAACTTTTTACTAAGCGCGCTCTCCGTTTGTGAACCCATCACCAAAGAGCTATAGCTATACTGGTCGCCAGATCGGGACTCCCATGAAAGGTCCATGCCTCGAACTTGTGGTATTTTTAAATCCACAGGAGTGGAATGGCTCATGTCTTTTTTCCCATCCTGTTTAGTTTGAAGTGCCATTTTTTGAAAGGCTGAGTTTTCTGTAAGAAAAGGAAGGTCACTGATGTTGCTGAGTGCACCGTTTCCCCTGAATTTCATTCTGGTCAAGTTGAATTCATAGTGTGGTTTTGCCCAAGAAGCCTCCCTGGATAGTATCATGTGCTGTCCGTGATTCTGCAACCCAGACGGCCCGTGGCTGGCAGGTGTAGCGTGCTGGTTTCTGCTCAGCAGTTCTTCGCTTATCTGCAGCGATCGAGCCAAGGGAACTTTGAGAGATGTGGAGTGGCCAGACCCTTCCCTTGTTCCATCCTGCCAGCTTCTCGGAGGCACCCCATCACCACTCCGAAGTCCCTCTCCATGGTGCTGGCTGGGTCTCCCAGGTCGCCTAATTGAATGGAAGGAAACTGATGTGAGCAGGACTTGCACAGGTAGGGAGGAATGGGTGAGGGGGCCACTCCTTTATTAGCAGGCCTTGCTTGGGTAACATCACTTTTGTGGTTTTAAATTTTTTTTTAAGTTTCAGCAGTCAGTTTTTTTAAACTTGTTCAAAATCAAAGAGAAGCTTTTTGGGCAAAGAAAAATGAAACCTGTCAGCTGGTCTTTGGTTGGGTTCACAAAATCGTGGAGCAGAAAAGGCTTCGCGCAAGTGTCTGAAAACAGTATCTTAATTATAGATTAGAAAGGAATAATCATTTGCCAGAGTTTATTCACGACTGTATTACTAGTGTGACGTTACCACTAAACAAGTACAGTAATAAAAGAGTAAGCCAAGTGACAAAATGCAGATTTCTCACACACTCACACACCCACACTTTTTACAAATGGTGAAATCTTTGGAGGGTATAGATTCAACTATATACGCCAGTTGTTGTTCAGCATCAAAAGTACTAAATGCAATGGTGTTTTAGTCATTTCACATTAAACAATAGCATAGGAAAAATATTCTCAAATAAGAATGCCACACAAACCTAGACACCTTTTAAAATAATTACTGTAAGAAACTAAATTATCTGTTCAATTTTGTTTGCCAGGTGCCAAAGTAGGAAAAAGGATCTTTTTTGTATGAGAACAAATATTTATTGTGCTGACTGATTAAACATATCAGGGCCTAATCTAATTTTTAACTAATATTTTAAGTCTAATTATAAAATTAGTTTTGCCCACTTATTAAAATAATCCTGTAAATAATGTGAACAAAATTATTTTGCTCATTAAGAATTGAGTTCTCTATGCAAGTGTTTGTATCTTGAATATAGTCTTTATATAGAATATTTGGATGAACAGGAAGGCAAACACTAAGCTAAAATTGCATCTGTAGTGAACTGGGTTCAGCAACTCCCTATTTGGCTTTAGCAGATACATAGTAAACAATGAACTCGAAATATGAAGCTCCTCAGTTTGGTAAGAAATGTACATTGATTCTAAAGAAAACCTACCACAGCATCAGGAGGAAGACAAATTTTTTAACAAACCTTAAAGCATGCAGTGAGAATTTCTGCTGTCTATAAGATATAATTAGATTAACTGGCACCTTGGCTGACAAGAGGGCAATCATTAACTAGCATTAAGTTGCAAGTACAAAGTGGATACATGGTACCATTCAACATCTCTTAACGTCATCTTATCTATTTAAAACTCAATAAACATGCTGATTTCTTGATTATGGTTTTCAGCTATCCATAGAGGACCATATTTTGACACAAGTTTAAAGAACCTGTTAGAATATTCTGAGAAGAAAAAAGTATAGCACCATATTTTTCCCTTCCTGAGTTTTAAAAAGTTCAAATTATAGGGTTAAGTAAAGAATACAAAAAGTGAGGAAGATACATTATTTTCTTTAATTGGCTGAATTAAGTTAAAGCTCAACAATTTAAACATGATATAATTAGGGATCCCAATTCAAAATCTGAGAAAAGTTCAGTAAAAAACACCTTTTAAAATATCATCTTATACTTCTTACATTGCCACTTGAAATCCCTTTTATTTCTAGATTGCCTACTGCTACTAGCACACAGAAGATTGGCAGAACTGTAAATCTTTCAGCAAAATAAATCTTCCCCCCGGTAAACTTTACATTAGTATACTCTTAGAAACTATTCAAGAGTTCATCTTGAAAACACCTTACAGTAGGTTATTCTATCTATAACTCTCAAGATCCATAGCAAATTAATGAAATGACAGTACTGGACTATAATAATAGCCCATAGTCCACCCCTAATACACTCCTAAAACACTTCCATCAGTCCACCTTGTTTGCTTTGGTGCCTTTGTCTAAGTACTCTGATTACTAACTGAAACATTCTTGTGTGGTTTGGTATCCTCATCTTAATGCCATGAAGATTACGTCTTAGTTCAGATACCCCAGCAGACTCTATGGGAGTGTCACAGAACTGCCAAAGCATCACAACTCAGTAGACAAGGCCTGTGTTGTCTGTTACCAACAGCCCATAGGTTCAAAAAGGCTTGTCTCCCAATTCTGATGGCCCCTGCTTTTCAGCACTGGTTTTATCCACTGTGGATGGTCACTGTGTGAAATTACCTCTTAATAAGTCTGAAGTGATGACGAGTTGTACACTGCATTTGCAGAAATGTCACTTTACAAGTGATGAGCAGGAATTAAAGCTGAGGGCCAGTTTTGGTGCTTGTTCCCACTGATTGTGTCACTAACCCCTAGGAAAATTGGTCCAGGGTTGTTTAGTAGTATCAGCAACCCAGGAAAGATATCAGCATCTCATTGGGAGCCCTATGCCCGAAGGACCCCTAAAATCTGATGCTGGCCTTGTCAGCAAAGATAATGTTCAGGCACTGACAGTATAAACTGGCACTCCACATAAGGTTTATACATAGAAGCTACAGCAATTGAATCTGCAATAGCCTTTTTAAGATGCCATAAGCTTACAAATATGTCTAGACATATATAGAGGTTTCAAATGGAACTGCTGGTTCACATAGCTGTTTGTTGATAGGCCACTACCACATGCTCCCAGAGTCATTGAGTATGCACTGTCAAGTATCTAAGATGCACATAGATGCATATTTCAAAAGTGAAAAGATCACATCCTGACACTCTTAAATATAGAAGTTACATGTCCAAATTAATTAATCTGAGGTTATTTTTGAAAACTAGGAAACATTTTTATAAGAAATAATTATCCTCTGAAGGGCTAAAATTCTATTTGTTGAATTTGTGAAGAAGAATTTAAAACCTATTTACACCACCACCAACCATGAAATGTTAACAAAAAGATCAAGAATTTCTCTTACCCATTCCCAGGAGCAGTGGAGCAGCCAGGTGAAAGGCTCAAGGATGTGCTGCCTGCACAAGGGCTTTTCTTAGTGGACAGATCAAGTACTCCGTCTGCAGAGATACAAGAATCACTTGAGAATAAGAAAAAATAGGTACATCTAAGCATACACATGAACATCAGATATTTGATGCTGGAAACTGGGTATCTCCAGCTAGAAAAGGGGCAGGTACCAGAGCAGCAGCATCAATGGGTGTGATTGAAACAGCCTGGAAAGGGAGATGAGACTGTCCTCTTCCTACTCTAGACAGGCTGGAAGGGAAGACGCAGAGCAAAGATTGTATATGAGGAAGTCTGGGGGGGGGGGGGGGGGGAATGACACTATGTGTCCAATACAGCTTGGAGAATTCTGGAAGTTGCAGAAATGGTAATCATTTGGGTGTCACTCACTCTACAGTCTCCTAGAGATGTCACTGTGCAAAGGCATTCCAAAAAGGCCAGAAGCAACACTGTAGTCAACAGAGTACTTACACTGACTTGTGTACAAGTCTATCCAGTTTTTGGGGTCAATTTTTTTGTTAAAAAGTCAATGTATATACAAATACACACGTAGCCTGTGAGTTACAAACATCCGACTTACAAACAACTAATAGTTAAGAGTGAGGGTGAAACAACAGAAAGTGAGAGAAATCTACCTCTAGGAAGGGAAATTCACTCCTGAAAGAGTTATCGTGGAGGAAAGGTGTTTCCACTAAAGCTTTATCACCAATACTTGTTTTCACAACAATCCAAATTTTTCAAAATCCAATTATCACAAGGATAGAAAGTGACGTGAAATCTTCTGAACAAGGAGCACAGACAGCAAAATAGACACTGCAGGAGTTTTAACCATTCCCTATGCTATCCAAAGCAAGCATGCATGCATGCATGCATACATACACACACACACATATCTGTAGCTGCACTTAAAAAGCGAACCTGTTCCGACTTACAGACACATTCAACTTAAGAACAAACCTACAGCACCTATTTTGTTTGTAACCTGGGGATAGGGCATCTCATAAAAACCTGGAAACTATGCAGTTGATCAAAGGGTCATAGCTATACACTGGAAAGAGGTTTTCAATCTATCCATTATCAATTAGACATTAAAACATAAAAACTTAGCAGGAAAAAGTCTTAAAAAAGTGAAGGACACAAATTCCACCCAATCAACAGATATTTGATAATGCCTGATGTCCATTTCTTGAGTATCCAAATGCTGAATATTATTACCCTCTACTTTATAATATGTATGCAAATCTATGAAATAATATAACTTTGAAATCCACAAAACAAGATCTGCCATGAAATACTCCAACTAATGTCTAGTCTATAACCATAATGAACATTCTTATTGACACTAGTTTTTAATCCATTTTTTTAAAAAAAAAAACTCAAGGTTTTTCTATGGTTTCTTCCAGATCTTCACATCATTACACTTTTCTATGACTATACTTTATTTAAAAGAGGGATGTCACATAATATATTTCCCCTTCGTTTTAAATTAGTTTAGCATGTTGAGTTATTCATCAAAGGGCTTCCCTACAGTTTCCAAACTAATGATCTTGATGCCTTCTTGTTTCTCTGCACACATATGACTGTTTGTATCTCAAAGAAACGACAAATTAAGAGTAATTATGATTATAATCATTTTGAGAAGCCCAGTGTTTTACAAAACGGCTAGTAAAGAAGATGGAGGAGAAAGTGGTAGCCAGAAATAGTTGCCAGAGCAAGACATTGGAACAATCTGCCTCTTTATCCTAAGTTCACAATCTATGCTGTGCAGAGAGTATTACCTACTCATATCTCACTCCAATGGACCACACTGGTATATTCACGTATACTGGAAGTGATATCGTATCAGTTACTGTCATCATGGTTACCTGTTTTTGAGGAGGGGGGGGTCTGGGATGGGTGATCAAAGCTGCCACATCTGTAGGTGGCTTTCGACTACTCTTCCCAATTTTTGATAAAAATGTTTGTGTGTGTGTGTGTGGAGGGGGGGGGAGTAATTTTGATATTGCTAGTGGATTTTGATATCACAAAAATGGGTCTCACATTTCCCATTCCTGTATTAATGGACCCTTTGTCCATGTCCTAAAAGGAATGCAGTTTGTTAATACCTAATGTTACAAGAGATGCAGCTCCAATATTGCCATTCAGAATATAAATTCTAATGTACATAGGATCTCCCTTTTTATTGTTCAAGTAACTAGAAACTCCAAAGCATAGTGAAAACGCTTCTTCTCCATGAGCAAATTTGTGACATGTTATGGCTATCAGAAGTGGCAAACATATCACATGAGAAATATATAATGTATTTAAAAGTTGCAGTCATGTCCTCTGGCAACTAAACTCCCTTTCTGACAACACTCCTTTGAGTCAATTTAGTACCTCTTCAAGCATATGAAGGATTAACTATTTTCTAGCCTAGAATTTATATTGGTAGAAAACCCAATTGATCTCAATTCCACACAGTAGTCTATAGTTTTATTAATGCTACAGTATAATAAATAATAATAATAATAAACTTTATTTATATACCACTCTATCTCCCCGAGGGGACTCAGTGCGGTTCCCAGGTAAAAATCACAGAACATACAAAGTAAAAACAACATAACATTTATAGTATAACACTAGCTGTCCCCTGCCACGTGTTGCTGTGGCCCAGTCTGTTGATCTGGCAAATAAAGTAATGAGAAAGTGGTTTCTAATATATGTAATTTCTTTCTGCTTGTGGGTAAACAGTATTTCTTGCTGTTTCTTTGTCAGTGTTGATGTGGAGAGTGCCTGGTTTGCCCACCCTGGAACATGGAACATATAGTTGTCCTTCTTTAAGGGTCCCTTTCAAATCTAGGATACTATCTCTCTGTGTGTGAATCATATCTATCTATCTATCTACCTATTTATCTAATCTATCTATGTCTATGGCTGGATGGGTCTTTGTGAGGAGGACTTTGATTACATTTTCTTGCCCTGATGAAGGGAGCTCGATTGGATGGCCTCAAGTATTTTCTGTTGGTCATGGGGGTTCTGTGTGGGAAGTTTGCCCTGATTCTGTCGTTCGTGGGGTTCAGAATGCTCTTTGATTGCAGATGAACCATAAATCCCAGTAACGAAAACTCCCAAATGTCAAGGTTTATTTCCCCCAAACTCCATCTGTGTTCATATTTGGGTGTATTGAGTGCTTGTGCCAAGTTTGGTCCAGATCCATCATTGTTTGAGTCTGTAGTGGTCTCTGGATGTAGGTGAATTACAACTCCAAAACTGAAGGTCAATGGCCCACCAAACCCTTCCAATATTTTCTGATGGTCAGGGGATTCCTGTATGCCAAGTGTGGTTCAATTCCATCATTGGTGGAGTCCAGAATGCTCTTTGAATATAGGTGACCTATAAATCCCAGCAGTTACAACTCCCAAATGACAAAATCATAATTTTTAGAGTGATGGTCACTCCTTGTGTAGTGAGACATTTTTTTGCCAAATTTGGTGTGATTTCGTTCATTGGTTCTTTTGATTTTAAGGCAGTCATTATGCACAGAGCATTTTTATGGAAGAGACCTCCAAGGGCCATCTAGTCTAGCTCCTTCTGGCATAAGGGAAAAGCACAATCAAACCACTCCTGAGAGATGGCCATTCAGCCTCAGAATACTACTACTACTACTAATAATAATAATAATAATAATAATAATAATAATAATAGAAGAATCCTAGTATAGAAGAGACCTGAAGGGGCCATCCAGACCGTTTGGGAAATGGGAGAAGCACAATCTAACCACTCCTGAGAGATAGCCAGCTTCAGGTTAATAATAAGAATAAGAACAACAACAACAATAATAATAGCAGTCCACTTACATCTGGAGAACACTGTAAACCAACAGAAAGATGGCAAAATTTGAACACGGTGGAGTTTGGGGAAGACCTTGACATTTGGGAGTTGCTTGTGGGGGGTGGGGGGGCGCGATGGGCCCCTCCCTCTTTCACCCCATGTAGGACAGAAGGGGAAAGAAGGGAGGGAAAGACAGAAGATAAGGGGAAGAAGGAAACGGAAGGAAGGAAGGAAGGGGAAGGGTAGGAGGGAGGAGAAACAGAAGGGGAAGAAGGGAAGGAAGGAAAGAACGGGCAGAAGATAACAAAGAAGGAAAGGAAGGACAGAAGATAAGGTGAAGAAGGGAAGAATGGAAAGGAAAGGTAGGACAGAAGGGGAAAGAAGGGAAGGGAAGGGAAGGGAGGGAGGAAGGAAACAAGGAACAGAAGATAAAGTAAAGGAAGGAAGGAAGGAAAGACAGAGGATAAGGGGAAGAAGGAAGGAAGGAAGGAAGGAAGGAAGGAAGGAAGGAGGAGGGGAGGGGAGGGGAGGGAGGAAAAACAGAAGATAAGGGAAGGAAGGATCAGAGCACTGTGGCTGCCCCATGAGCTACGGGGAAGCGGGGGAGGGGGGTGAAAGAGCCGCACCTGGCCAGGAAGGCGGCGGGGCTCGGGAAGAGAAGCGTGCTGCATCGGAAGGCCGGGCAGGGCTTGGTGCAGGGCCTCTGGGAGACCTCTTGGGGGGAACGGAGGGAGGGAGGACGCCCAGGCCCAAAACGGCTGTGTGGTGAGGGCCAAATCTCTGGCGACGGAGGGGTCAGAAGCAGGAGTCCTCTCTGCCTGCAACTCCTCCTGGGAAAGGCGGGGAGGCCTCTCCCAGGCGCAGTTGCTATGGCAGGCTCAGCACCAGCAGCACGGTGACGGAGTGGAGAAGGCACCTCCTGCTTCTGCTCCCTCGCTCGAAGAGGCCCCTCTGTCTCCGTCAGTCATGCTGGTGTTTCAGATTTTAAATTTTGGTGGAGCTGTGGCTGGCTCCGGAAGGCCCAGCAGCCGTAGCCGCCACAAGTCCCGCCGCGAGACGATGGAGGAGCTCTCTTACATGCACGTGCACTCCCCCCACAGTTGCATGCATGCCCTGTAATGGCTTCTCCTTTTATTAAGGATTTCTAAGTTGTTTTCAGTTTTATTTTATTTTTTATTATTGATGGTCACACCTTGTATGGTGAGGAGTTTTGTTGCCAAATTTGGTGGATATTGGCCCAGCAGTTCTTTTGTTTTTAAGCCACTCATTACGACATGAGCGTTTATATAGATATAGATTTATGTCCTCTTTATCTGGAAAGTATAGGTAGCATGCTCATTCAGTCTTAGGACAGGTGATTGTTTTAAAGAGCTCCTGAGATTTTCTTTCAACTTCAATATGAAGTATACTCAAGTAATCTTGAATTCTTTTTATTACGCATGAACAAAACTCAATGTGCTAAAGATCAATTAAAATTGCTCTGTATACACTTCCACAAAAAAAGAAAGAATATGTTTAAATGGTAAAATGTTTTGCAACATATGCCCTTTTAAAAGCACCCAGGAAACTAATTAGCTTTTATTTTAAAATAAAACAATCCAGTAGTTTTTTAAAAAAAACCTACAGCCAATGGTTCACATACACAATCATTACTGTGTTTTAGATAACTTCACAGGTAAACAAACTTGTGGCCCTTTAGATATCATTTGTGATCTACAATATTGGATGCCTTTTCAACAAACTATACATGGGGAACATTTAGAGTTTTGAAAATTTCTACAGGGAAACTTCTTAGAAACATTAAGAACAGAAAAGTAAGTGCTTCCTTGGTTGATCATTTTATGGAGCATGTTTATTCTTTTAAGGATCTACCTTTTTACATGCTACAGAAATTATTTGCGGGTTGGTACTCTAGCTCCACATAAACTCCAACTACTTTAAAGTTTAGGTTTTAAACATTCCCTAAGCTCTTTCCCTGACATTAGGTTTTTCTTATTAGGATGATCTTAAAGATGCAGAAAAAAGTGGAAAGATATAATGTTTTGCCTTCCACTTTGAAATCTATGCCAGGAATAAGCTTTGGAAACACTCTGAAATCCTTGCATCTTTATTTTCAAATCATTTTAAATAACATTTTCTACATACACAATTTTCTACAGTTTAATATGTTTCATAACTTATGTATTTTATCTACAGTTTAGGATAAGCCATACATTCACATATATGATTCTGTAATTCTTCACTATGCCTTGTCTATAATTATTTTTACATATGTATTCTCTCCCTGCTTTTGTGAGTAGCCTTAAATAATACAGATTGGGCTAATTCAGAAAATACGTCTTTAAAAATCCAGAGACTTGTTTCCTCTAACTTCCTTCTTATTTTGGCTACTAAGAATAGCCAGAATTGGTGAATCTTCAACTATAGCCTTTTCCAGGTGGCAGTCTATCTATATACTATAAATGTATACTATAGAAGAGAGCTCACAGAATTAAGTACAGAAAATAAAGTTCGCACATACATTCAAGGCTAAATTTGAAATAATCACAGTTGTATTTACTAAATTAGCTGTGATAATACAACCCGAGCATTCAGTTTTCCATTAAAGGTATTCCAATAAGAGCATTTCCAAAATATTATCAAATATGACTGAAGACAAAATTGCCTACCAAACCCATTAATTTAGCATACATTCTTCCAAAACGTATGTTTCTTTTTCTGGCAATTCCAAAGTCATTTTGAAACATGAATAATAAGGAGAAAAGCAACAACAAACATTTGTGGTTTTGTAAACATATTTTGTGAAGTTTTTCTGCATTCTCACTATGCAGTTCTACTTTTTTCCATTCAGCTAGTCTCTTATACATTAATAAATAATATATTTCAAATGGATGAAAGAAGCATTGAACAGAAGCATGGTGTGCATACCTTGTTCGCTAGGATCCAACTGAGATTTTCTGACAGTGAGGTCCAAGGGCGAGTCCTGGTCAGCCATGAGAAGTTTGCTGAGCACAGGGTTTTGAGTCGTTGCACCCGCAGGGGATGAGGCCACCGGAGATGCTTTCAGCAGGCTTTGGTTCTTTGTGCTATTGGGCGAGCTGGAATCCTGAGTAGAGCTAGTTTTTGAGGTATATTCAGCAGCAAATTGTCGGATCATCCGCTGCATGATCTCGCGGGCCACTAGGGGAATGTCTGGGTCAGAGACCCGAGGACTGTCTAAATGGCAGAACATTTTAAAAAGTTATATGTAGAATACATTTTAAAACAAAGAATTTAAATGCAGATAACCCACGATTTTTCATTTAATTACATTTCCATACTACAACCTCAGGACTTTGAGTTCACATTAATGCAACGTTGGGGTGCTCCTGACTTAAGTTAACATATTTGGAATGAAGTATCACACCATAGGCAGTCCCTGAGTTACAAACATCTGACTTACAAATGACTCATAGTTAAGAACGAAGGTGAGAGAACAGGAAGGGAGAGATCTACCCCGCTCCCCCCGAAGGATAATTCACTCCTGAAAGAGTTATCATGGGAAAAAGGTGTCTCCACTGAAGCTTTACACCAATCGTTGGTTCTACAACACACCAAATTTTTCAAAATCCCATTATCAAAGGGATAGAAAGTGAGGTGAAATCTTCTAAACGGGAATAGATAGCAAAACAAACATCACAGGGGTGTTAAACATTCTCTATGCTATCCAAAGCTATATATTTAAAAATGTACCTGTTCCGATAAACAAATTCAACTTAAGGACAAACTTACAGAACCTATCTTGTTTGTGATTTGGGGACTGCCTGTATCTGGATTCTAACCCAAACAATTTTAAAAGGATGTCACAGTTTTACAAGAATAGTTTTCATACAGAGATGGGGAAAACTAAAGATTTAGTACTTTGTTTTGGATATAGGTTTACATGGCTACTTTTTTTTACTTGACCCCAAATGGAAAAAATGACACCCTAAAGCCAATTGAATTCTAGGACTACATTTACAAAGACCTGCAAAACTGAGTGTCATAAAAACTTTCTAATGCATGCTAAGAATTGTTGTAAATCTAAAAAATGACCTCAAATTTGCTCCAAATTTGCTTCATAATGTGTTTTGACAATTGTATTTTGTAGCATGTAACTGAGCAAGATTTCTTTGGAGTGTAAACAATAAACACCAAGAAAGCAATTAAAGTCTTTCAATGACTTTTCAAAAGGCTTTTTGGGAAACTCAAGGGATGATATCAAAACAACTGTGTTAGAATGGGATTTTATTCATTCTATTATCCCTGGGCTGAAGGAAGATGCAAAATATTTAAGGCGGTTTTGATAGGACAGCCTCTCTGTGAAAAGAATCAATAGCTAAATGTACTGAATATTGAGATGGCTTTTTACTACAGTCTTCCAAAGCCTATAATTCTACAATATATTTTAAAAATAGACATTTGATAATACATTGGAGTGGTGACTCAGACAAATAAAAGAGACAACTACTATACTTTATAAAATACTTGAAAGTCTTAACCCCAAAGATTATTATGGAAACAACATGCTGCTATCTCAAAAACTAGAAGGACTACCATGCAAGTCATTAGTGTAACCAGTTTACTCTTCTGTGATCACCAACCTTTTCGATAAAAGACTGCATGGAGGAATTCTTCCGCTTGCCTCTCAAACCGAATGATCTTTGCTTGCTCTTGTTTAAGCAGAGCTTGGTGCTCAACTTCCAAAGCTGGCTCATCCAGACTGACTAAGTGTTCCTGGTAGAAAAAAGAAGAGAAACATAAACACACAAACACAAACCTTTTCCTCTCTTCCTTGTTGATTTTAATAAAACTGTTCAGTTAATTGCATACCAGGATAATTCTGAGATAAAATCAATACATTTCAATACACAAGCCAGTCATAACTAAATCTTTTATACTCAGGGTGATGCTCTGGTTAGCTCACTGGTCACGTAGAAGGAAATATGCTAAATGCTGACTGTAAAAAAGCCAAAATGTTAGATACAAAATTTAAGGGGGGAAACATCTACCTGACATTAAGTCTAGTTGTGTCTGACTCTGGGGAGTGGTGCTCATCTCCATTTCTAAGCCAAAGAGTCAGCATTGTCCATAGACACCTCCAGGGTCATGTGGCCAGCATGACTACATGGAGTAATGTTACCTTGCTTCCGAAGCGGTACCTATTGACCTACTCACATTCACATGTTTTCAAACTGTTGGCTGACAATAGCTGGGGCTAACAACAGGAGCTCACCCTGCTCCCCAGAAGTGAACCGCTGACCTTTTTGTTAGCAAGCTCAGCGGTTTAACCTACTGCACCACCAGGGCCCTTTCAAAAGAGTAATATCATAAATAAAACATAGCACCCATGAAGCAAAGTATTCCACTGTATATGTCAGGAAAACTAGTGCAATGTCATTTTAACTGAGGTACTGAGAAAACAGAGCAGACTTCCTAATAACTACAGCAGTTCCATACCAAATGAGATTCTACTGAAAAAAATATTCAAAGAAGAAAGACTGGAAGACATAGTGTGGCAATTACTACAATTTTTACTGATATGTCTAACACTAGGAGCCCTGGAAAAAAAGTCCTTAGTTCCCCCCACACACCCCAACTACTTCAATCTCTTCTCCCTTTTCATCCATCTCCACCTACAACAGTCACAACCTCAATGAGAAAATCAGCAAAGTACCAAAGGAAAATGTTCAAAAATAAATACTGTGGTCAAATCACACAATCATTAATCAAGTTGTGTCTAGTTACTTTTTATTAATTTGTTCAGATTCAAATGATTCCTTCAACTATTTACGTATAAACTGACTTAAGTCCATGTCATATACACTACAGCAATCTTTTTGTGGAATCACTAATACATGGATGGATTGCAAGCTTCCTACTTCCTACACATAACAAGGTACTGCCAAATAGCAAATCTGGTTATTTAACACATGACTTCCCCCATTAATATGTAAAACAGTACTGACAAAATGACTATCTACAAAGAGCATTTACAAAGTATCTAGAAAACATACCAAAAAAGAAGTAATGATGATAAAATCAATAGGACGTAGCTTCCTCAAAACCAGAAAACATGATGCTGCAAAATTGCTGTTACAACTCCATCAGCACAAAAACAAAAACACAAGAGTTTGTGGTGGTGAAGAAATAAGTAAGTTTTATATTAGTAGGGAATGCATTTGCCTCCAAACCTAAAACCATGCTCCCCTCTTTAACACACAAATATTAGAATGTTTAATAGATCCACCCAACAGGAATCCACATTGCTCTACAGCCATTTGTGACACACCAGCACACTTTAAAAAAAACCATTCAGGAACTGCAGATCCAGTTATTTAAAAAAGCACATGGAAAAAAAAATCTAGAAATGGACAATTTTGCTGAAAAATACTATATATATATACCCCAAGATAAAGGGCACAAGAAAAGAAGGGCACTTGGAAAGCCCTTTCTCAACAGCAATTATATAATTAATTTGATTTTTATTAAGGCAGCAACCATTTCTGGTTACACTACAAAAAATATAGTTGTCCAGCAACAAACACAAACACCAAAGCTCCAGGTCAATGAAAATCTCAACCTCCTTGCATCTTAACCCTAGGTTAAGATGCGAGGGATAGCTTACCAGTTTTAAAGATACCCACAAATTCTTCTAGAATATTGATTAACATAAAAAATACTAGAACATCAGTAGAAATAATCACAACCAGGAAATCCTTACACTCACATAGATCTCAGCATATAGCAGTGAAGAAATCTTAAATCTTAGATAACAAATTCATGTACAACAAGCACCATCTAAATTTTGCTTGGGAGGTCCTTTTGTATCCTTCACCTACCATGACAGGGTAGACTGTCTGTAATATGAAATAGGTTCTTCTATATAGAAGCTAAACACTGTGAAACACTTTCTCCAGTTATGTTGGTCTGGACCCTTCTCTGTTTAGTTTAAGCAAAGTTAGTTTTGAAAAATTACGAAGGAATTCACCTTGCTTCCTGTTCTTAAAGGATTGCTTTCCTGTGTGTACTAAATTTTTAAAATGTTTTAAATTTAAAAATCATCATAAGGGCCGTTTAGGCTAGAAGGTGATTCAAAACCTATTTTATCATTTATATACAGTGCATCTGTTCTATTTTCACAGTGAAGATAAGGGGGAAATATACTCATATTACTAACTTAAAGCAAAATATTATGGACAGCCTAATTATTTTAAACCAGTCCAGGTCTAACACATTGCTATGAATCCTGCTAGTAATACCAACAAGAGTAGAGCCTATGAATCAATTACTCAAGATTGAGATAACACTTATGTAAATCACAGTAATCATGGGGCTACCTACAGGATTCAAATCAATGAATCTATTCATGATATTGGGCACTTATAAAATATAGAAAAATATGAAAAAAAAATCTTATCAGAGAGCACAGATTTATGTAATTAGGAGTTGGAAGGGGTCACCATAAGTATAAAACATTAGTTATAGATTTAAAATTCAATCAAAGATCTACAAGAACAACCCCTATGATCACTTGCTATCTCAGTGGTTCTCAACCTGGGGGTCGGGACCCCTGGAGGGGTCGCGAGGGGGTTTTAGAGGGGTCGCCAAAGACCATCAGAAAACACAACATTTTCTGTTGGTCATGGGGRTTCTGTGTGGGAAGTTTCWCCCAATTCTATCATTGGTGCGGTTCATAATTCTYTTGAYTGTAGGTGAACTATAAATCYCAGCAACCGATATACATCCTGCATATCAGATATTTACATAATAACAGTAGCAARCTCCYRAATGKCAARGWCKATTTTYACCAAAYTCCAYCWGTGTTCATATTTGGGCATWTTRAGTATYYRTGCYARGTTTGRTCCAGATCYATYAWTGTTTGAGTCCACARTGCWCTCTGGATGTAGGTGAACTACAACTCCAAAGCTCAAGGTCAATGTCCACCAAACCCTTCCAGTATTTTCTGTTGGCCATGGGAGTTCTGTGTGCCAAGTTTGCTTCAATTCCATCATTGGTGGAGTAAAGCATGCTCTTTTATTGTAGGTGAACTATAAATCCCAGCAACTACAACTCCCAAATGACAAAATTAATCCACCCAACCCCACCAGTATTCAAATTTGGTCCAGTGATGAAAATACATCCTGCATATCAGATATTTACATAATAACAGTAGCAAAGTTGCAGATATAAAGTAGCAATAACAATAATTTTTTGCTTGGGGGTCACCACAACATGAGGAACTATATTAAGGGGTCGTGACATTAAGAAGGTTGAGAACCACTGTGCTATCTGATAAAATTGAAAAAGGCACTGTACAAGTAGAAGTAGCAATACTGGCTTAGCTTTGACAACTGTGGATCAGATTGAACATTCCACATACTTCCTTACATGTTAGATGTATGCCCAGTTCTTAGGCATGTCATGAGAGTTTGTGTACATCAACACATGGGTCATTTTGCAGTGAATTTGGGCATGAAATTGTTGACTTGGAAGAGACCACAAGCGCCTTCCAGAAATACATAATCAAATACAGGAATGCATAATCAAAGCACTCCAACAGATGGACATCCTGCCTCAATTTAAAAACGCTGGGGGAAAAGACTTCATGACACCAAAGCAGTGCATTCCACTGGTGAAGATCCCAATGTTTAAGCAGAATTTCCTTAACCACACAAAGGTTCACACAGCATGGCACATAACCAGACTGATCTTGTCACAATTTTTTGCGATTTAATACTGTATATAGCTTTAGACACAATACAGGTAACATACAGCCAAGTAAATATTGCAATTTTTTTTGTCTGATGAATAGAATGAAGGAACATGATACCCTAATACAGACGAAAGTTGGAAAATTGTTTAATAAACTGTAAGTTACACGCTTATTGGCAATGTTTCTGTGCTCATCTCGGAATCCAAACTTCATTTTGAAACTCCTACTATATATATATTAGTTTTAACAAGATATGGCTTGCTGTGTACATTCTGATTAAATAATTTACTTTCCTAATGGGACATTTCATTTCTACTTCATTTTCCATTCATTTGCATATAAAAAGAACAAACTATAGCTTAAAAGTGAGCTAAGAAACAAAATTCTCAATACCTCCAGTGTGACAAAGAGAGAGGGGAACTGCAGTTTCATATCTAATTTCCACTCCCTCAAAAAGATTCAATGCATATTGCATTTTATAAATGCTTTATGCACTCTGTATTCCTATAAAGGAAAAGGCAATCAACTCTCAATTCATATAGACAATATGGATTCTGAATGAATGTAAGGAAAAACAATTTGTTAAGAGTTTAATGAGACAACGAGGGCAACAAGTGGAGCATTACATCTACACTTAAAATTAGGAATAGTGCATTTCCACAAAGTACCTTGTTATTGTTACAAATTGCAATCTGTTTTCAAAACAGCAATGTAAATTAAACTCCAACTGATGTTGGAAAGTGAATGCCGCTGCAGCATATCATGAACTGATTAAGAACTGTGCAGGGATTATTTAAAGATAATCTGAAAAACTTTAGAGTATGATCAATAGTTATCATGTCTAAAAAGGGCAGAATACTTTTGCAACCTACAATACATTGTGGCTTTGTGGTCTACCCCAAAACCTAAAAGCTGTCAGAACAACTGGAAGGTGCCATTGTAAGCAGTTCCCAGCTACTACTGCATGGACTAAAAGCAGAAGAATGGGAAATACTGTAACACCTATTTCATTTACCAATGAGACAACCTCATACCAGACAGGGTAAAAAAAGAGACCTCCATAAAGTGATGACATAGGAAAATCACTATGTATAGAAATCACTGGCAAGAGTTGTATGCTTGGCTTGCATAGTTCCTATTCTGTGAACTTCACAGCTGGTTAGCCACTGAAAGCATTTAGTGCCATTTGCCTCTGGATTCAGCAAGAGATTGAACTCCTTATCAAAATAAATTCCTCTAAAAATCAAAATAATAAAATTATCACCTCTACCACCCAGTTAACTTGTTTTTCATTTATCCAGTGTCCTTTTACCTTCGGAAAACAGATATTTGTTCCCATGCCTATTTCCCATTCACCAAAAATAAAACCAGATCAAAATCTTTGGAAAAGAACATATTTGTTACCTTCACTTTTTCTCTTCTCAAACAGCAGAAAAGACAATTTTCATCAAAAGACCAATCAGAGACACCTTCAGGCTCAAAGTCTGTGAATAAGAAGAACAAAAAACTTTACACCTATAAAGATCACAATATGTGCATGGCTAAAAACCATTCCAAATATATTACTAGCTTTATAAAACAGTTGCGGCAATTTAAGAACTGCAACTTTGAGTTCTGTCATTCTTTTAATATCCACAATATTACAAAAGTGTAATCTTCACCTACACACAAAGCAGATTTTCCTAAGCAACACCAAAACCACTGCCAGTTACGCTCATTAGTAATTTTAGCCAATATGAAACTAACTGTGAGCATTGCCTGGGGGAAGGGAAGAAAGCACAAATCACCAAGGTAACATACATTTTCTAGAGGCAGAGCAGAGCTTGATTCTGTCATTAGAAATGCAGATCAAGGCAAAAAAGGAAGATATAATACCTTTAAACAAACTCAGATCTTTTAGTAATTCGGATCCAAACAGCCCTTCTAGAATACTTTCAAATCCTAAAAGCAAAGAAAGAATGGTCAGTTTTCTGGATTTGACATGTTGCTGCCAGAATATTGACAAGAATTCTACATGTATCTGCTCCTAGAATAAATCTGCACGTTTTTTTATCTTGAGATTTTCTGACTAGTCACACAACCAGTTATTTTAAGATTTAAATTATTGTGATAATGTAAAATGTAGTCTGAAAATGAAGAATTGTTTAATGTAATGGAAGTATTTTTTTAAATAACCAAGCCACTGACTTTAGGTTATGAACACAACAGTTGTAGATTTTTAATTTTTCCAACAGAACCCACTCTCAAGCCTTAGAATTTCTCACTAAGGAACAAACTGTGTAATAAAATATAGAGTGAACATATTATGCATAAGCACAATTACTATTCAGATGATTTTTTGTGCTCTTTTAAGAGTCCTGGGATTTTCTATTTAAAAGATTAGCCTTCTCTCCAATTATTGCCACTATTTGTAAATGTAAATTTGATGTTAATCTGAATCATGCCTTGCAGCTAAAGATATGGCAGAAGTAGTTAAACATTTCTCAGAATATAAGCAAAAGCAAGTAACGGGACCATTTTTGGAATAGAATTATGAATTCTACTGAACAATTTACTATAAAACATAAGGGACATGTTTTGAGGTTCTGGACAATAGTCTCCATTTATACTTTCCACATGCAGAATATTTCAAACACAATTAAGACATAAAACATTAAAAAGAGAAAATGGGTACAGATGTTTTTAGGGCTATATAATATAATACACCAACAGTCAATTCTGTCAAGATTTGTATTTTCTCACAAATAAGGAAGTGTGACAGTGGTAAGTTGAAAAACCCTGCCTTCAACTGTAAAGTATAAACAAAACCCATTTTCAAATTTTGCAGAATTGTTTTTATTCCCTATGAGGTGCAACACCACGAAAGAACTTTCTTCATTTAATTTTGCTAAGGTTTTGAGTGCTACAATGAAATAAAAGAAATGAAACTGGCAATCTAGTAACAGAACTATATTTACATCAAGATAATTGCTTGTGTGAGAAGGAAAAAACACAGCAAAGCCAAAAAGAAATTATTGAGGAATGGCAGACAAAATGGAAGCACCCATGAACAAGTATGGTAAAGCATAGCATTTTGGGATGAGAACAGCATCATAAACCTTAAAGTACATTACCTAAGTTTTAACAAACATTTTGAATCCTTACAGATTCCACCCCCTCTCCAAAAAAGAGATGTTTAGAACAGGAAAAAAAACAGATGGGAAAAAATCCTAGCATCTATCTGTGCAACAGAATTTCACGTTACTATTACTACCACTACTACTTCCTTTTCTTCTATTATTTACATATTATCATCATCATCAACAACACAAATATCATCTAAAACTGCTGCTGCTGCCTTGGAAATGAAAATTTGGAGGGGAAAGCAGGAACAGGGAAGATATTAAATATCTCATTAAGTATCTATTTTTAAAAGATACTTCCTCAAAAATGGCAATTCTTTATTTAAGATTTTATTTTTGAAGTTCCGGGGTTCAGTTGTACATCTGTAAGCAATATGTAGCAAGCATTTAGATTTCAAGTACTGACATTTAAATTCAAAGCATTTAGCTCTATGCAGCACCAGCTCCTTAAAAAGCCCTGAAAGCTTTTAAAATACTCATGAAAGTAATTGTCAATAATTTGTGTCCTACACAGTTTGCCATGCATTCAATACTCAATTCACAATGCCTGTTAATTGAGTTACACAGTCTGGACAGTACAATCTCACCTTGCTTGTTTCACTATTCTCACCAATGGTAATGCCACCAGTGCTTTTTTAAAAAAAATTAAATATTAGATTTAACAGTCGCATAGCAACAGCAGAAAAGCTTATAGGCAACAGTAAGAAACCAAATAAGAAAAGCATATATTCAAAATTATTTTAAAAACCTAGAAGAATTGTTATAGAACCCAACATGGAACAAAAAGCTGCAGCATAACAAAAGAATCTGAATTGCCATTTTATATTTAATCATCAAAAAGTCTAGGAAAAGAATGTATACATGCAAATAATCCCATGAATAGATCTTTAAAAATCCAGCCTTGATTATTTATTTCCTATTAGTCTCAGAAACTAAAAAGAACATTATTTTCTCCACTAATATAGTCTTTCTGCCTTGTGTTTGGCAGCTGACATTTTCTTTTAGATTTCAAAAGATTTAACATGGCTGTCTTTGTTAAATTCCTGTATTCATAGGTTCATCATCCACATACATTTTTGGTCATTTACAGCTGATAATAGAATTACTAGTAGAAAAATGACAGGCATGGGAGAGAAACTTTAAGTGTCCAAGGTTCTTTTACTTTTTTACGAACTTTGCAGAAAATTGTAGGTAACTTACAAGGCAAAACTTAGTTGATTATATTGGAATGATTAATGATATGATTTTTGAAAAAATTAAGACACTGGATATTATTTACCATGGAAACCTCACTAATTGATTTAATTTGCGTGTGTTTTTTTGGGGGGGGGGGGTTAGTGCAAGACTGGTTTGAAAGCGAGACACCAAAAGGCTTTTAAGGGAGTGCTGAAATGATTTCATCACGGTTTCTATCTACTGTGAATTCTCACTCCTCAAAATTTAAGTTTTGTGTCAAGTGAAATAATCAATAAAAAGGATGTTAAGAACACACATAGTGAAGCAACAGACATGTGGAAGAGCAGGCGTCCTTCTTTCAATTTAGGCAAAGTTTTCATTTTCTGAAGGCCCTGAATCTCAATACAAGTGCAGTCATAAACTATTAATTTTTCATATACTGATTAGAGATATGAGAATCTATTATTCTTAAGTGTGTATGCACAGCTAACTGCTAATGCACAATTTGAGATATCTGACAGAAGCAGAAGGCAAGAGATCAGTTTGAAGAAGGAAACAGAAACAATTGGATTGCTTTTAGGGTAAAAATGAGGAGTGTATTTCTGATGCTTTGCCCTCTACTCCACCCAACCAGGGAGGAAGAGAGAGATACATTATAAAGGAATACAAATTCAGCAGTTTTTATTCTTTAAATACATAGCTCAAAATAAGGGTGTATCCATACTACATAATTTTGATATCATCAATTGCCATTACTCATTCCAACATACACAATCCTAGGTTTTAGAATATAGTAAGGGTCTTAGTATTCTCTGTTGTTGTAGTTCGGGAGACTGAACTGGAAAATTCAAAGAATTTTACAAACTACAAATACTAGGATTCCATAGGACACAGGCTAAGCAATGAAAAATTGACAGATTCTATATTTGTGCAGTGTGGATGCAACCTACACTGTTTACTGTAACTCACCTAAGACAGCTCCTTATAAGGGCAAAAAATAATTTAGTAAACCTGGAGTAGAATTACAATAAATAATCACATATACTACCACGGGCTCCTTGGAAAATGGATAGAATACAACCCTGAATACTTATTGTTATTTTAAAAATAAAATTTATCTCCAATAGTAGTTACAGTCCCTCCGTACTCTCGGACATGGCTAGGTATGGGCTTATTTTGAGCTGTAGTCAAATAGTTTCACTGCTGAGTGTTACAGCAATGATAAAGTATGTAGGTATATTTCCTCCTTCAGGTAAATCAATTCTGCAACATTTGGTACTGTTCATGCAAATCTGGAATATCTTCATGACCCAATTCATTTCAACCCACTTGTTTGTCATTGTTACTTCTGATAGGATTATTCACAATTGTTAACTTTATATTGTTTTTCCATTCAAGAATTAGCAGAAGAATATGGAATATTGTTCTCCCTTTTAATAGTAACATCTGCAAAGTATTTTTTTCTACTGTTTGCTAAACTCTATCAAGGATGAATGCATATTCTCACATCAAACTACAGGAAATACAGAGAAGTTAAAAGCCAACATTTAAAAAGTCCACTTGCTCAAACACAATAGATAAAGTAAAGAAAATGGCACAGGAAAATTTTCCAGGGGTGTGTGGTCTAATTCAACAAAAACTACTATCATCCAGATGGTTTAGAGTGTTAAAACAAATATTGTACAAATTAAACATAAAAAAGAATACTGAAACTAAAACAATTTAAAGCACTCATTAAAACACAGAAACATAAAAAAGCAGTTAATATGCGATACAGAACATCAAGGAGCAATGTGTCACAATCAGCTTCTTGAATTGTGCCTCACATGGATCTATAGTCCAGTGGAGTTGTAATAATAAAGTTACATTCTCCTTGTAACTAACCCTGGTCAACTGTCTAGCTGCAGCTTTTGAAACCAGCTGAAGTTTATGACAGCTTTTGAAATCCAACCTGTAGATCACATCACAGTATTCAAATGGAATGCTAACTAAAGCACATTTCAACCAGATCAGCCATCTTCAAGAATGGCACACTACATTTAACTGTCCAAAAACACTCCCAGCCCCTGCAGAAATGTGGTCAACTCGGGGTGCTGACTCCAGAGTTGTGTATACTGAAATTTGGTATCTTCAGCACAGGTCAAATACATATTCCCTGGTGTGCATTGCCTCACCAGGAGCACATCTGTCTTGAGTAGATTACGATATGCTTAATCCAATCCATTATTGATGAGACAGGTTTAGAACTGAAACTGCTTCTCCAGATTTTCTAAATTCAAATGGAAAGCAGAAGTTAAACTCAGGATCATACTGACAATACCAGAATTTAAAATCCCAACTTCTTCCAGGATGAAAGACAAATTAGATCTCCACAAACTAACTGCCAAATCATTACACAGGATATTTTCAATGCTACCCTCTGGGCTCATCACTCCAGGAAGGAACAAAGCCACTGTGAAACAGCCAAGAAAGATGGTCAATGCAACTGTAAGCTTCCAAGGGGTCCAACAGAACCAATAGGTGAATGCATCTCTACCCATCCAGTTCCCAATTCCAATCATCAACCAAGGTGACATAAATCTCTATATCACAAACTGAGCTGAAGCCAGACTGAATTGTATATGTGTGTGTGCATATGGATTC